AAATAATACTCAGATGACTAGCCGCTTAGAAGTGGGGTTTTAAAAATTCGAAATCAATTTTTCACCCGGTTCATTCTCACCTCCGTTCTTGAGCGATGATGCCGTACTTCACCAAGCAGTAAATTCAAAAACGCTCACCCTTGCTAGGCATAACTTCATAAACATTCAAGGCAATGTACATTTACTCAGCTGCTTTTACCTTTAGTTCTTGCCCTGCCAAAGAAAAGATGGTGTGCCTCATTCTAGCCTTATATCTGCTATCTTTGTAATCATGCTCTCCTCCGTATTTTCACAGCAAACCATGATATACCGAGCAAAAGTCTAAATATGTTTAGCTATGCCAAAATTAAGATCTCCCCTTCAAAATTTCCTCTACCCCGCTTGCTACACACTTCAAACATTCACATGCTGTCGTCCTTGCCCAACAACTGTATATATGAATGGCTGAGGTGGATGGTATGTGCGTGAGCGGAAAAGTCTGTACAAATCTTAGTGAACAGGAAGCTGTTCTTCATTTCCTTCATTATTCCTAATTTTAGCGCTAGATTTCACGTAAATTATGCCTTGAGCCAAAAGTTATGAGCGTCAGTTTTTCTTGTTTTAAACCACTAAAATCCTCGGGATCTGCTAAAACAGAAGAGATAGATTTTATGGAAGTCACACCAAGTGAAGTCACCCAAGCTGACCAAGCAGGCTCTGCACATCCGTATTTTCAACACAACTATCTAGCGCAACAAACTATAAAAACGTGTTATCAAATAATACAAATCTATTTTAAGCGATACGGGGGAACAAAAAAATGGTAATAAGCAGGTTCTGATCTCATTTCGTCACGTGCGCATGACATGCGATGCGCATGTTGAATTACGAAGGGCAACAATATTCCTAAATATTTATGGGATGTCCTAGAAAATGTGCATACTGTTTGATCGTCAATAACCCTCTTGCCTTAATGACTTTTGCCGATCTTTACGCATCGTTTCGTAGAGCTGGCATTAACTGTGAAGTAACGCGTATTACTGATTTTTCTTCGTTAAAGCTTGATTACGGTAGGGATGAGGGCTTTAGACCATTGAGAGCCGTATTTCGCTTCAGGAATATACAAACAAGCCAAAATCTCTTATACTAGGCAAACAAAGCCTCTCCTTTTAAATGTGAAATTTGCACAATAGTGTAATGCTTCTTTCCCATGCTACTCCACGTAAACAGTTGTAACTATTTTCCAGCGTTTGTCAAGAATGTGATTAACCATTGGAAAAGCCAAAAAAACTTGTAAAAAAATAATACAGTACAATCAGCATGCGTAATCCTGCTCAACAATTTGTCAGATTTTTGAAAAAAATGAAAATCAGCACAGTGGAAAAAACGCGGTCACGCTTGAAATTCTTACCGTATTCAGTAACGGATAGCTATTGGTATCTCTTTATAATGTAGATCTGAGTTGAAGCAACGCTACAGAATGGTATCCATAGGTTGCGGAAGGACATCGATAAGGAGCTATTGATAGTCAAACAGTATACACATTTCGAGACACTCCACATATAGCAGAAACATTATAAATGTATATGCACTATGTATGCTCTACAAAAAACCTTGTGCAAAGACCGATTGACTTAGAACCTTGCACACATATGCTTTCGACCCCAGCGATAAAACAGGCTGCTTTCCTCTCCGATTCATTAGGCCCGTCAACCAATTCAATAATTTGATTAGGTACTTTTAAGAAAATAAAAGCCTATCAATTCTTATGGGACTATTGCATCTTCCTACAGGCATGAACGTGGCAGTAAAGCTTATTTTAATTTCAATATCAAAAATGCAGTGAATTGTAGTGGAGTTTGTGGACTTGCTGCGGGTGCTCTTGTTAACTTAGGGCCGCATGCATTAACATCCCCGTCGGGGAGGGGATTCGCAGCTCAAAAGAAAGCTTCATATCTTGGAGCTGCAGATATCTGAATTTTACGCCATATAGCCTATTCGTGAGCATACCGTCCTTCAACTATGAATAAATTAAACAGGAGCGAGAAGCTGTACAAGCCGTATGATCCAGCTTTCTGTATGACCCCCTGATGATCCTCAACAGCCGACCGCCTTCTCTTTAAAGTCATTTTTCTTTCTTCGTCAACGAAACATTCCAAAGTTGCACCGATTATCTAACCAGTGTTAAGCATGTTGCTGCATGCTAAGAACATGACGATTTAGAGCCATGAAATTTGCGATGAACCACAAGTCGAAAGTTGGGGTTTATAAAAAAATTCAATTTTTCAGAAAACCACTTGTTCTTTTCAGCAACATGCTTAGCATTGTTGGGTTAGACGAACAGTACAACTTCGGAAGGTTTTCATTAACTTCGAAGAGACAAAAATGATTGTAAATAAAGGACGGTCGGCTACCGGGGATCATATGAGATCATATAAAAAGCTGGAGAATGCGGCTTGTACAGCTTCTTAAAGGCAGCGTCCAGGCAAGATCCATCCACCCAGATTATCACATAGTTGTAAAGAGGGGCCCACCCATGTGTATCCAATCTGCGTTGGTCCAATCCTTTGACGTGCCCTCTAAAAGGAATACGGGCCTGTGATACGTATCACAAGCCGCCCCTTCGTATCACAAACCACCGCTGAGGACGAGTGCTTACGCAGGGTGCGGTTGCATTGCAGTTGCACTGCACACTGCAATGCAACTGCATTCGTGCAGTTGCAGCTCCTCCCGCTGGCATGACGATGGGGACGAGCAATTCGAAACTCGTCCACCTTTTGAAGAGAGGACCCCCCAGAACCGGGTTTTTTTTTGAGAGTTTTGAACAATTTCGACTTTACAGCTGTAATCGGGGCCACGGAAAGGCCCCAGAATGGCAAAAACATGAAGGGCGAAATTTTGCCCGGACGCTTCCTTTAATGGCAGCGTCCAGGCAGATCCGGACCTATGGGGATTTTACGTGGAAAGTACTTTTGCGGCCCTAAGTGAGCCACTGCCCAAGCGGCAGCGCATTTAGTGCTCTAACGGCTGAGATACCCTCGAAACTGGACCCCGCAATCGTATTCGCATGGATTCATGGCAGTTTCGCGCCAGGGTCCACGCTTTGCGCCATGAATCCATGCGAGATACGATCACGGGGTCCAGTTTCGAGGAGAACATCTCCGCCGTTAGAGCACTACCTGAGCTCGGTTGGGCAGTGGCTTAGTTAGGGCCCAAAATTACTATCCACGCGAGATATCCATGTGTCCAGACTTGCCTGGACGCTGCCTTTAAGCGTATTTACTAGGCTGCTGCATACGTTCTGTCCAATTTGAGTTCTCAAAATTAAAATACCGCAACTTTTTTCAAACTTACTTTTTTCTATAATTTTAGTTTCTGTTCGTTGAGCAGTTCTTTAGCTATCAGAAACACACCAGCTCTTACGAAAAACCCTTTGAAGAAAGAAGCAGAACTCAAAAACTTCACAGCCTTCCACAAAAATGTCTTCTTTGACATGGCAGTGCTTTGTTATAAGAACTGACAGGCACATTAAGCAACCATGTGGTTTATTTTCGAAGATTAATCTACAGCTTAAAGTGCCTATAGGATGTTCGGTACCGAAAGATAATTCTGAATGAATAAACATGAACGAGATTTACGACCTCGTTTTAGCACACGTATGTACGCCAACTTTCAGATTATGAAATTTTTAGACTTGGCGCGGGGGAAAAAGTAAATGGGGGCTGTGCTCCTAGTAGCTCTTGCTTAACTCCTCCACCTCCAACATTAGATTCATCTATTGCCTCTGCTTGTGGAAAGTTATTGCTTGTAAAACTTTTGTACAAATGGTAAATCTTCAACAACAAATTTTACTAACAGACATTTTTTCGCATGAAAGTGAGTTTGCGCATATACTGGACGTTTCACAATTATTCCAGACCAACACAAGCTCTTGACTTGGGAAGCATGTGGAGATTTTCTCGCAAGAACATTTTTTTCATTTTCTTAGCTGAGAACGACGAGTGAAAATCTTCTAGAACGCCTGCTTCAAAAACAAGACAAAAAACTTGACAGAATTTATGCAGCAGCCTAATAATATCGTAGTGAAGGATGTTCGGAATACCTGCGGATATACGGCGTGAAATCCAGATATCTGGAGCTTCAGGACATGAAGCTTTGTTTTGAGCTGTTCCCTTCCCGGCGGTAATATTAATGCATGCGGCCCATAGAAGGAGGTGGAGGGGGAGGGGGAGGATGTCGGTCGGGCTGACCCGAGAAGGACCAAAGAAGTCATCCAGTATATAAAATTAGTTGTATAGATATATAACATAAAAGAGCAGTTCTTATCTACTATATGTACCGAATTTGTGAATTGTTTCTCTGCATATCATCAATGAAAGTAGCCCAATATTTGAGTGGTTCTCAAGCATTTTCCACTATGTCGGCCGCCCCTGTTCGCCGTACGATCCCGCCTCGAACTGCGGAATGTAGCATTCAATTCAAAAAAGACGTTAATTGCTTCGAAAAAGCAAGAATGCGTGAATGAAAAGTGTATTGTACGAGGTGAAAAAAGCAATGCCGTACTTTTAGTTCGGCAACTTAGCAGTCTAAACATTTGTAGTCAAAGCTCAATACGATCTTAAAGAAAACCAATAATTCTTAGCAAAACTCCTTATCATACTAGATGAGGGGCTAGAAGAAGTTTACAGTAAGTGTTGTTCAGTTTGTGCTGTATTGTCTCAGAAAAGCACATTAGATGTTTAGTAAAGCGTTAGATAGTCCTCTGATTGGCAGATTTCTTGTGCCGTCGAGTTACTATAAAATTTTCTTTGGATTGACAGCATAACGAGATTGGGAATCTGTTCCTGCAATCCCCTTTCGTAGAAATTGACGTGGGCTTGTAAATGCATTCCTTGAATTACACAGAATAGTGTGAATGTTCCAAACACATTCTATCTAGATTTTTTGCGAGATAAGGAAAGACACGTAGATTAGCAAAAAGCAATGGTAGCTTTTTGGTGAAACTAGTAAACCATGATAACAGTTTAGTGCCTGTGCGACTCTCGTCATGGAACGTAAGCTGTTTCTGTGCTTGTAAAAATCCCGTGACCATTTCCTTGCAAAGATTTTGTGCAAGTACGAGCACTGTGCCACCTTTAAGATAACTCCGCAAGCAAATATCTAAGCTTTTCGCAATTGTAACATATCTTCTAAACAGGCATCAAAATCTAGTTTCAACAAAAATTCTTCAGGCTTAGGCTTAGGACTGACTCCTCGCACGCCTACCGAACGTCCTCTTGCCACCACTGAGCGTCCTCTTACAACCATCGAACGCTCTTCTTACAAGAGAACCGATGCATTCTACGCCAAAGAAAAAGAGGATTTTCAAGTTAGTCAAACTCATTACTTGCCTTTTTCTTCAAACAACATCAAAGCGTATTATTATCTGCGAACGACATTGATATGTCTCCCCCACGTTGTTAATCCACTATCAAGTTCACCAACTTGTTACATCAGAACAAGGATTTATTTTTTTGAAACCGGATTTACGCAAATCTCTAGCGGAGGGATTGCTAATTGTTTTAAACATTGCCCAACAATGTAGCAAAGGTACTGGATAAACCGAAAATGATTCATAATCGGATACATGAACAAATCAACCACCCAACATGACAGCTAACATGCAAGAAGCTTTGGTCTGTCATAGTTGTCGTATTAAAGTTTAACTATACTTTGAAGACAACTGTTGAAAATGTATGTATAGCAGGCGACTCGCATAACTCGCAACCGCTGGCTTGTTTATACGCGCTTTTGCTTGATTCTCACATCTCATAAATTTCGGTATTGCACATCATCATTGCTTTCCTCTCATTGCTATTTCTATCTCTATTAATATAGTACCTCTTGATTTATTTCTTTTAGCAAGAAGACTAGCGACCCTATGGATCGCAAGCAAGGAGTTAGAGCAGTTATATTTGTAATCAAACAAACAAGTATTTCCATAGCATTAACTTTCTAAAGAAAAAACTCGAGTTTTGGACAACAAGAATAGATGTTTCTTCGAAATCCAAAATAGAGCTGTTTTTTGAAGAACACCCGGGTTTCTTTTTAGAGAAACACCTTTAAGCATGGCAGAGAAAATCATCTGTTGAAATCATTTCTGATGTTTTCCGTTCCGAGTTTCCCACTTTTCAAAAACTGCTTAAAGTGGAATCTCCTACAAGGCCGTGATTTCTATGAAAGCAAGAATACCTCATCCCCAAGGTATTCTTAAGCGAAATTTCAAAAAGCATTAACTTTAATAATTTAATTATCCTACTTTCACGAGTATAAGACGCACCCGTTTTTTTCTAAACTCGATCCGGCTGAACATATCAAAAAATTTCGCGACCAAAGGATCCTTTACAGAGCTCTCATACCTAAAAGAATTGTATATAGGAGAGCGGCCATTTCGCAAGGCACAGTAGTGCGCCGAGCGGTGTTTGAAAAAACGAAAAAGGTGCGTCCTGCACTCGTTAGTTTAGGGCAGTCTTTTATGCTGCTTTCAATTCTATGAGAATTCACTCTGAAAACGGAAGAGGAAGAGCCTTTAACACTAGTATACTAGGTTGTGCGAAAATTAATGCATGTTCCTTACGCCATCGCAGCAGTGTAAAATTGGAAAAGTGAGAGATGTCATTTGATAGAGGAAAGCAAAATCTACTAGACAGCTTCTAGAAGATCGCAAAATTTAAATCCGCATAAAAATGGCAGCAAATCTAAAAAATTTTACTACCCAAACATAAAATCTGTGGAAAAGATCCTACAGATATCCACATCATTTACGCGTATACTTCACCATTTACAGGAACACCTTATTGACAATGGTTGAAAATTGGAGATCTAAAATGGCCGGAAAGTGCAAAAAGATCACCTTTTTGCGACCGTACGTCAAAATCGATATTTCTCAGAAACTAGCATCTATAATAAGCTAAAAATCTATGGTTTTACTTCCAAATGTTTATAGTTTTGGATTTTAGAAGTTCAGGTGAATCAAACTTTTTGCGATCCTTCTAATGCTTTTTGTAAAAGTTGCTTTGCTCCATCGAATGATATGTTTTTCGCATTTTTATATTTACACTGTCGTGACCGGTCAAAGAACCTGCAATAATTTGAGGACAACCTAATAGAATAGCAATCATACCCTATTTCAGTGTTATGGCGCATTTTTGCGATTAAGTCGGGCGAAGTCGGCATTTTAACAAGTTAGGCGTATAACCACGGCACTAATGCATAGTAAAATAAAACCGCACGACAATTTCTTCGACAATCTCGCCCTTATCCTTGCGAGTTTTCGATAGCAGAAAGATCAAAAAGCGGTTTTTCCAACGAATTCAGCAAAAAGATTTCAAACACGCAAACTTGTAAAACACTTTGAGAAAGGGAAGCTTTGCGGCAAATCGATAAAGTTTACAAATCAGTCAACATGTCTTAGTGGCACCACAACCATACGGATTTCAAAAAAAAAACTGATGTTTTCGTCTACACTCTCTTTCCGCATCTGCATTCCTCATAGAAGCTCATTCAAAAAATAAAAGTGTGCACTGAATCCAGTTTTCCCCCACAGGCCTATAAAAAAAGCGTTACGAAATAGCAGACTAGTCAGTCGTTACTTTTCCCAAAATCCTTTTCAAGAATCTTTTGGGCTATTTTGCAACAACCTTTATTCTAAAAAGTTTCGAAATCAAAGATGAACACTGATTCTTCACATAGCTCTCAGTGCCACATACATTTTGTACGATTCTGCAGATACTAAGTCTCAACTCTTTATATTATGCTCTTATATTTTTGGCAACGAAAATAAACATTGTTTTTTAAATGCGCAATAGAAAGAACTACCTTACAATCCTACAGAAAAACCCTCAGTTTCAAATCCTGCGATAATACACCAACTGTCGAAGAGCGAAAAAGGAAATAAACATTGTTTTCTTACGATGCCCTATATGCCGCTACGCAGTCATTTGAAAGACAGAAGGTTCCGCAATTCTACAAAAAACTCAGTCTTATCTCTCAAAATGCACCAATCCTAGAATAATTCCTGCAACAAATATGAGCATGGTTTTTCTCGTAATACCCTGCCTCCTACAGATTAGTTGTAAGAAAAAACTGTCTTACCAGCAGCTTACACACGATTATCGGTTAAAAAACTTCGTTACGATTTGCTTACAGAGCGATATTTATATGATAAAACCGCCCTCATCAATCATCACTGAACTCTCACTGATTGTCTTGGGTAGCCATGTAATATATAGATTATGAATGAGAGCGAGATAGAATTAGGTAATACAATTACGAATTTGTAAGTAGACTATTAGGTTAGGGCAGAATAATACATGTTCTTCATGCTATCGCGGCAGAGGTTCTAACTTGAAGTGGCCTTCTAAATATAGTCTATACTTACTAAAAGCCTCAGACGTCGATTTTAAATCTCTTCACAATATTTGCCGAATGCCGAGGTATGAGTGTTTTTGAAGCACATGCACGCAGAATTGATTGACATCAAGTCACGGTTGATATACCGCTCAGATAGAGGAAAGTTGTGTGTGAGTACATTAAACAAAAAGGTATTCATTTATATTCATTTCACTTTTCAATCAGGAAAATGCTCATAACAAGACTCCAGCAGCGTCCGGCAGATAATAGCAGATTAGCAATCGCGTTCGCAACTATAGGCCTAAGGCTTAAGGCGTACCTCGCGCTATCCCGATCGTCACGATTTTTGGTCGCTGCGACTAGACTACCTAAGCGGCTTTCATTGCGTGAAAATCGCGTGGTTGCCGGACCTACCGATAGCGTTTCGTAAACATCCACACAAAATACTTTGTTATACGCACTTTTGTAAAACATGTGCTAGTTTGTCTGCAGTGCATTTATCCAAGGGAAGTCGAATAGAATGTGGTGCCGTATGCTTTCAGAGAACACTACGTCAAACGGGGAGGTATGAAGTTTTCACATTCCATCCCAGTTTCCACCAAAGTTTTTCTGCAGCGAAGAACGTCTGCAATGAAAAAGAGTACTTGTTCATAAACTTTTGTTCTAAAAATTTGGGGTTGTGGGTTCGCGAAAATTTTGAGAAGCGTACCAAAAATTTTTTCTGGCTAACGCCACGCACCTTCATCGGAAGAAAAATTTTCGTCCCCCTCCCCCCCCCCCCCACCGAGCCGAAATCCTGGGTACGCCACTTCAGTAAGGGTATGTTTTGGACCTGTAAAAAATTACAGGCATGTTTCAACAGCGAGTGCCTCGCGAGTTCTTCTCTGCAAATCTACAAACGATTGTACAGGGTGTCCCAAAAGAATGTATCCACTGTTTGATTGTTAATAACTCTCTTATTATGAGGTCTTTCAAGAAGCGGTGAGCGCCATTTTGTATGGCTTCAACTTAGATTTACAGTATAGAGCGAATCACTGACTGCTCTTCATTACTCTAGAATTACGGTAGAAACTTAGAACATATGGTGTCAATGTGGAAAAAGCTGTCGTTTCAAAAATTTTCATAAAGATGTGAAAACTTGTGTAATAGAGTTTTTAGGGACGCTGAGTTCAATACTCAACTATTCCCAGAATTGCGAAGCTTTCTAAACGTGTAACCGCACTTTTTAGGAACATTGAGAAAATGGCCGCTACAGATTACCTCGCATAACTCTTCAGTGAAGCATCATAATAAGTTGGGAACTTTACTGTTAGAATCAGCAACTCTAATTGGTCCAGTGTAAAAGTTTTCAGGCTGTTATGATTCCTTTCTGAGGCAAAATATGGTCTTCCATGGCCCAAAACCCTCTTTCTAATCCTACAGTAACGGAGAAAGATGGACGATTCGCTCTATACTGTAAATCTAAGTTGATGCCAGCTCTACAAAATGGCGCTTACCGCTTCTCAAAAAACCTCATAATGAGACAGTTATTAACAATCAAACAGTCCTGTATGTATCATTCATTCTCTGGCAAAGAGACGCGAGCATGCTTTGCGTAAGATCAAGATGTTTATGAGTGTTTTACAACGTTTTGGTAGTTACTATTGAAAATTCGTGTAAACAACATGTTCGAACGTGCGGTTCAATGAAGTCGAACATGTTTATTAAGAGGCCTAGCAGTAAACCAGCCAAAACGGGTTGAAACTCACCCATGAACTTTTACCTGACACTGAAACGCTTTCCTCTATTCTTAGTCAAACGTGCGCAAAGCGTGCTCGTGTGGTTAGTCAGAGAATGAGATACACCTCATATGCCTAAGCAACTGAGACTGCTAACCTCCTCAGCTTTAAAAATTATGGAAAGAGCATTCGAGATTTATTCGCCATTCAATCGTGATTGAAGCAAAAGCACGAGAAGATTATTGTTTTGCGAGAACAG